GCACCCTGACTTTTATGAATCCTCTCAGCCGGAACAACTGGAAAAATATTTCTTTCAATTGAAATTTGTTCATTTCTTTTATCTTGAAAAGATTTTTAAACTTTTTTAATTGGTGTCCAAGAACTTTCTAGAGGATGAGGCTTTTTTGATCGTGCTATCAAACCAACAGAAGATTCCAAAAATTTAATCCACAGAATTGTTGAAAAAGAACAATGGAAATCAATTTGTATAAGTTGTCCAGCTGCCCCATTAACCAAGCCATCACACGTGTTTATATCCATTGTAATCATATATTTTGCGGAGGTTTTTAGTGTCAATTCCAAGGGCAGTCGATGCGTTTCAGAAGTTTGGAAAGGTTTAACTCTTTCCAAATATTATCCTTTTCACTTATACTAATTCCTTTAACTGAGTCCTTTGCAGTTGAAAGGATAGCTTCAGTTGGGATTCGACTGAGCTTAAGGGCATTGAAATTATTTGTCTCTTCATTGGACCAAAATAAATGTATGCCATCATCGGGAACTTCTTCGAAATTAACTACTCGAGTTTCAATGAATGATATGTCCTCATTGGTCATAGTACCAGATGCCATATGGTTAAATGCAATTGCAAAGGCCTGATCCTCCCGTTGTCTCATTATTTCTGTTATTTCAAAGTATTTAAATAACTCCCACAAAGGGGAATTAGATTAGAAGAGAATATCCACCTATCTCCCACAAGTGAGAGTTGCTTCAAATCACCAAACACGATGATCGGTATACCACCGAAGGGGCTGTCTGTTTTGAAAATTTGTTTTAATCTCGCATCAACAGAGCTAGAAATACGAGCACCTATCATCGATATTTCATCAATTATGATTAATTTTAAATCGATAAGTCTGGAATACAATGAACTAATTGTGTCAGTGCTAAGTGGCCTCAACTCTCTACTCAACTGATTAACAGGTAAAGAGAATATTGAATGAAGGGTCATTCCACCTATTCCGAATGCTGCTTTACCCGTAGGTGCGCAAAGAAGAACTTTTAAGGAACTTGGATTGGATCCAGGTGTAGAACTGTAGCGATGGTTAAGTGCTTGATATATTGCAGATATCAAACGACTCTTTCCTACACCTGCACCGCCGCCAATGAACTCATAAAATGGGATTTTGTTTTTAGGTGGTGCATCAAATGTGTCAAATAGGTTCTTTGCTTAGTATTTAGACTTTGAACTAAAGAAAATAATTCCTCAACTGGAATTAAAGGGGGTAGCTTAATAAGTCTAGTATTGAAATCAGATTCAGTGCCATTATCTGTTGAATCTTCGCCATGCAAGTCCAGCAAATTTATACTTGGGTTTATTTCTGGAAGTGCCAACACTCTGAACTCAGTTTCAACGATAGGTAGTTCATTTTGAGCACCTTCGTCCAAGTCTATTTCATTATAAAGACTTTCTAGAACATTTTCAAGTTCTCTTTGCTCAAAAACATCATAGTTTCTTTGATTTTCCTCAATTATAATACGATGTGTTATGCAAGTCTGCTCATTATCGTTTTCAATGAGATCTTGCTGTTCATTCCGCCAAATACTCAACTCTGGCCAAATCTATGTTAAACCTTCTATACCGAATAATACAAGGTTTGGTACATTTTTTCACAAAACCGCTACCGTCTTTAAGAGTATGACAACCTCGCTTTCTAGTAAATTATCGTCTTCCCTCTCTTCTACTTCATGATCACTATCTTGTGCTCTTCTACTAGATTTGAAATATTTATACCCAGATGCAAAATCAGCTAAACAAAGAGTTTCTTACTGATCGGATCTTTGACCATTACGGTCTAAACTACCGGCTACGAATATTTCAGTCGAACCTGAAGGAAGGTTCTAAAGTTCCACTGTAGGTTTTACCATTCGAACACGTTCCTCAGGTTGAGAGGTATTTATATAAATATTTGTATAAATATTTCTGCATTATTTGCTTTCGAAAGGCGGAGCCCAATGCAGCAATATACTGCTTCTTGTGCAGATATTTCTGTGCCTGATATAAATTTGTGACTTATATGTTTAAGTATTTGCTTAACAGTATAATTTCCAGCATTTACCTCTGATATATCTTCATTTAAGAGCCTAGAAACTTCCCTGTTAGACTTGTTAATATAATTAGTTATATATGAACAGCAAGCATATGCATCGAGTATATATTGGATATCCATATTTGCTCTATGGAGTTCCAAAATCAGAGGATTATAAGCGTTTATAAAACGATTCTGTAATTTTCTTTTTAGAAAAATTTTGGGTTTTGTTAAACTTGATCTAAGGACTAACAAATAGTCATCAAAAGACATATTTATTCTATATCAGACAGGAAATGTTCAAAATCTCTTAAATTAGAAATGTCTTCTGTAGTCATATTTGAATTTAAAAGGTTTTGAACTTTGTAAAAGTTTTCTTGTGTCTTTCTGAGTTTTGACTTGTTTCTGTAAGATTTAACAGTATTTGCGTTGAAGGTATTGGTGGATATGGTATACCAAAACGACAAAACAGTTGTCCTCTTATTTCCCTAGTACCAGACCGACTGTGGTTGTGCTTTTGATAACCCAAATAATTTTCTAAGTGGCTAACCGAACCATCTGTAGAAATATAATTGTCAAAAAAACTGACAGTCTGAGGATCTTGAAGGGTGATCCTGGGAGCATTATTAAGCCAATACATGCCATGTACATGCGGGGAATCTCTCTGTTGAAACTCCACTCTCCAGTAGAAATTTGTGACAAAATGCTCTCCAAAAATGCCGGCATTCTCTTTAAAAAGCTTAATAATTTGTCGATAGCGGTAGTCAAAATATCTAGCACAAGTAACAGCGTCCGACCGAATTAAGCGATAGTTTTAGAGAAGATGACCAAAAGCTCAACACACGGAGATTCTGCTGCCGATAAAGTGATAAAGAAGGTTGGAATCCCAAATTGGCGAATCATAGCGATTGCCTTTTTCTTCTCAGCTTCCCAGTGCGCAGGAGAGGATCTAACGCCTTTCAAAACCTTGCAACCATCATCGTGTTGAATCTAGTTTTCGTTTAATAGATTTTGGGCCGTAACTTGGATACGGCCTGAAAACTTTCTAAGGCAAATGGATGTACTATTCTTAATTTGTAGCAGTTCTAATTTTTTGTAATCATAGAACAACTTTGGATTGGTACACGCTCTTCTGTCGAACTTCAGAACATATTATTCAGAACAGTATTATTTTGCTATATGTTTATGAGCAGGTACGTGTCTGCCCAGCGTATATTGTTCCAAATGACAACTCTTCTGAATTATTGTCTTGAATTATGCAACAAACGGAACTTCTTCTTGGTTATTAAATTCTGAAATCCAGTTTTCATTTATATGTATATTGTGCTCACGATACAGAGGGGTATTCACTAAGAACTAGCAATCTAGGCATTATGAGACGTTCTTCAATTGGGGTTGAATTTTTAAACAATCCGGTATTTCAGGAAAATCTAGACCGTTAGCTAAACATATTTTTGGATCGTTCTTTTTAGCAATCGCATTTTTGCAAGTAGCACCAAAATTGTAATTTCCATCTTCCGAAGGAAATTTTTGCATTAAATAGAAGGCGGATGCAACATTGCGTGACCTTGCGCAATAATTTCGAAATTTAATTTGCGAACTTCGTGTGAAAACCATAATCCGCCGCAGCAAATACATATTTCAGCAGGGCCCTTATTTATATTTTGGAAATAAATGTTTTTGAAATCTGTTAAATTGTCACTATAATCATTTTCTATAACATTATTTTCTCTCGTTAATCGGATTCGTTTGGACTGTCTTTCGTTTTCAATTTGCCTACTGACCGGGTTATCTCTACAAAGGCGAACTTGACTTTGTCTAAGACGTCTCTGATTATAAATTTCTTCCCTCATACCCCTCCTACTAAGCTGTCGACGTTGTGTTTCTCTACTACGCTCCTCTCTCCTTATTTCAGGATTTCTTTTTGCATGTTATCTTTGCATTTGATCACGAATGCGCCCTAAATTCATATACTAAGGATTTCTTGCGCGAAATTCTCTATGATCCCTAGTGTTCCTGCTTTACTTATCATAACGTTCCTCGGGGTCTTTGCGCCGAGATCTATGACCTCGAGTATTTCTTTTTTCTCTTCAGAGCGGACTTGGGTCTTGCCCTATGTTGAACAGTATTTAAATTTTGTTCAAAAGACTGTAAATCGAGATTTTCCCGCCTGGTTCTATGTTGATTTGTATTGATAATTTGTTCGGATAGACGTACATCGGAATCTAATCTACGATTAGCGTGACTTACAGTATCTTGTGACTGCTCACTATCTCTATATAAAGAGTTTGCACGAAGAACTCTCATACGTCTTCTATTCTGAAGACGACTTAGTAATACAGATTTTCTACTTAATCTAGGCATAATTAATAAATAAGAAATTGCTTAATATATAATATAAAATACTTATATATAATACTTATATAATTCCGATCGTCCGGGTCTGAAAAGTTGGATCCAAGGTGCTGCTCTCTTTCAGTGTAATTGAATCCTTGCTTTGACTCCTTTCCTGTTCGGTGTATAGGTACTATGGTATACTGAGGCACATATGTATATGTGTTTGCTCGCCACTGTATATAATGCGGTTTTGCGTGTCACTGTATATAACAATAGTTTAAACACTATATAACTAATACACTGAAATTAGTTTGAATACATCACTTTGGTGGTCAAGAATCTAGTGTTCCTGAAACTACAAACACAGTGTACTGATATATTATACTCTTGCAACATGTTGCTACAGAGCATAATAGTTTTATAATGGTATATTTTTGTACACACAGCTTACATGCTTTTGTATACCTATATATTTCTTAGATATTCACTAATAAATAGTACATAATATTTAGTTATATTTATATTTTAGAATTTAGTAGTTTATTTCATTGTATTGAAATTAAGTGCTCGGAAAACCACTCCGTAAATTGCTTTTGTCTAACGCTTTTTAAAACAGGAGGATCTATGGTACCTATTTTGAAAGGTCTGCCCATGAAAGCTTAAGTAACAAAAACTTAGATATGAAGGGTATACACATATGTAGAGCAGGTATGTAGCTTTTTATCTTTCTAATTTAATATATAAACCTTTCATAAGCAGCCAACGGCGCTGGGTAAAAATGTAATTTCTTTTAATTTACAGTCCACCTCATGACCTTCATATTAAAATGTATCCCAAAATTTAAATAAAAAACAATAGCATTTAAACCGATACACTACTAATATTGATGCAAACAATCGTTTGGTGAACAAAACTATACTCTGTTGCAACATGTTGTAAAAGTATAAAAATGTTGCGAAAGAATTCAACATTCATTATCCGATTATTACTTATTAGCTTATGTTATTAATCATAGATTTATTTAGTTTCAATACAATTTTTTTTCTTCGAAATGTTAACTTTAACAAAAGGAAGCTATTTAACTCAAACATGCTGTATGCGATATAAACTAAACCAAAGGGGTTAAATTTAATATGTGGGGTATATGAGGTGGCTGTTGTACCAAAGGAGCGTAAATCAGTATATTAGGGTTATAAGGTTTAAACAAAGGTCTACGAAAAACTGTCCATTTAAATTAATTAAATGATCAAATTAACGGAAAAAATTATACCATAAGCAGTATATGTGAGGAAAATTCGTGGACCGATTTCGCCAAACGGAGGTTTTAATTTTTTACATAAATATGTTGGAGATAGATTAAAAGGCCAGGAAATTCCTTCAAATCCTATATTAAAAAATGTTTAGAAAGAATTATATATGCATTATTAAATGAAATAATGATTAAATTACAATCAAATTTGGTATCTTCTTGACTTATATAATAAATATATATATATAAAAGGCCATAAACTTAGTCATATGAAGCTATAAACCACATTATTTTTAAGAAAAACTGTCCATTTAATTTCATTAAATTATAAAATTAACGAAATATATTATACCATAAGGTGGCAACATTTTAAGCTCTTAAGCTGTAATTTTTTGGCTGTGTACTTTTGTGTTCTTATTTTAAAAAATTCTTCAAGTTTAATTGATGTTTTTACCGTGTTAATACAATTTTTAGTGATTTAACTCTGAGTTGCAAGATAAGTATTAAATGTTCTTAAGTTTTGTGCAGTATTAAAAAGTTTAAACTCTCGAATTTTTGGTGCCGAGTCAGCTTTTTGTTTCATTTTGTTTTATTTTATTATATTTTCTCTCTTTATTTATCTCATTTACTTCTTTATTCACAGCTGTGTTGCGTTTAGCTTTTTATTTGTTACAGTGCTTCTAAAACTGCTCGCTATATTGCTTTTTCAAACTGTCTTGGTTTTAAACTTTGATAAAAAAAATTGCTATTATTTTTGCGTTTGTTCTTAATTGAATTTATTATTATTAATATTTTATCAACACACTAATTTATTATATATCTATTAAATTTTGTTCTACTTACTCTTTTAATTGATCTTCGTTCTTGTGGTTTATTATGTATTGTAACTTCCCCAATTGTAACATTAAAGGCGAGTCAGATCGCTACGTTTCATGCTGGCTTTGTGATGGGCTTGCCCATATTAAATGTGCTGGACTGACAGGTAGAATCTTAGATTATATTCTCGACTGTAAGGGATTGCGTTGGTCCTGTTTAAATTGTAGATCTATTTAAAGTTTATAGGGAGACACGCAATGGCTTTAAAGAAATCGGTCGTGATCTTGTAACGCTCACTGAAAAATTTAGGCACTATGAAAAATTGTTCAAATCTTTTAAGTACCTGAATGATTCTCACGAATCCTCTAAACCTGCTGCTAAGCGTAAACGTCCTTCCGATGAAGTAACACTTAATTCTTCTGTTCAGAAAAGAACGTCTCCTCCCAATGACCTAATAAATCTCTCTTCTCCTTGCCCTCAAGGTGATAAGCCGTCAACTACCAAAGAGCTCAATTCCCCAAAAGCTCTATCTAATAGTAATAAATGTCCCACAATTCCAGAGGCTCCCCCTATGAACTTAGTAGCATCAGTTAATAATTTAATAGTTATTCCACCTAAAAAGTCTATATTTATTTCGAGACTGCCAAAGATACCTTGGTGGAGGACATTAAATCTTACATTTCGTCACGTTTAAAAATCGATGATATCAATATCCTTAAATTTAACTTCAATTATGATAGAAGTATATCATCGTTTAAAATAGACGTATCTCTTGAAATATTCAAAAAGATCTTAGATAGTTCATTCTGGCCACCTGGGGCTTTTGTACGCGAATTTAAACCTAAACTTAAAAGTCAAACTGAGGAAAACATTGTTAAATTACCAAAAGCAACTATCGATATAAAAAACTATTTGGTAGAAATTCGCTAAGCATTAATATCAAAATGTTAGAGGTCTTAATACAAAATTAACCGACTTGTATTTGAACAGTTCCAATTTTAATTTCCATATAATTGGATTTACAGAAACTTGGTTAAAACCTCACATTTTTGATAATGAGATTTTAAACAGCGAATTTCAAATTTTTAGATGTGATCGACTAAACAGAATCGGTGAAGGTGTTCTATTTGCCGTACATTCCTCAATCCCATCTGAAAATATTCTTGTTTCAGGGACCGACTCATTTGAATTTAAATGTATTAGAGTCTACGTTAATAGTTGCTTTATTTATTTAACCCTACCTTATATACCACCCCATTCGGACTTATCTGTATACATGCAGCATGCTTCTTTAATAAATAGTGCTACCTCGATGGCAAATAATGCAGATTCAATAATTGTATTAGGTGATTTCAATTTATCGTGTGCTTCGTGGAAACCTTTCGAAGACTATATCGTGCCGATTTGCAATCGGTCATGTTTTAATGAGTTTTTCGAAAAAATGTCCAAAATAATTTGATTCCGAATAAATTTGGTAAATGCTAAGATTTAGTATACGTTGATACCTCTTCAAAGTGTTCCGTTATTCAGAGTAATCCTCTTGTTCTACCAGAGGACTCATTTCATCCTGCTTTGGAAATATCTGTCGAAATCTCAGGCAATGTACGGGATAATAATCATCAATATACCAATATGTTTGCAGAATTTTTCAAGTCAAACTACTGTAATAATTCTTCCAAAACTTTTTCTTATCAGCAAATGCTGTGTTCGAATACTTTAATTAACGCTCCAATTATTTCTGAAGAAGACGTCCTACTTAATTTAAATAAGTTAAAACCATCTTTTAGTTATGGCCCAGACATGATACCCTTATGCTTCCTAAAAAATAGTGCCAAATATATTTACTTGCCTTTGAAAAGGATATTTAATTCCTCTCTTAAACACGGTATATTTCCTTCAATATGGAAACAGTCATTTATAATTCCTTTGCATAAAAGTGGATTTAGATCCAACATTTAAAACTATAGAGGTCTCGCAAAACTATCAGTTACACCTAAACTTTTTGAAGCTATCATCACTGACCATATAACGTTTTCGATTTCTCCGTTAATTTCCTCATCTCAGCATGGATTTCGTACAGGGAATTCGACTATAACAAACTTACTTGAATTTGTAAACCATGTATCATTGGGTTTTAGGGAACATAAGCATACGGATGTTATATACACAGACTTTAGGAAAGCTTTCGATAAAGTAAATATCTCGATTCTCATACATAACCTTGATCTGCTGGGCTTTTAGCCCAGATTCCTTCAATGAGTATCTTCCTATCTTTATAATAGAACACAACGAGTGATATTTGAGGATACACCTTCAGATACAATTAATGTTTCTTCAGGTGTTCCACAAGGTAGTCATCTTGGCCCGATTCTGTTCTTGTTGTTTATTAACGATATCTCTTCAGTAATAGAATTCTCAAAAATATTATTATACGCTGACGACGTAAAGATTTTTAAATCATATACTTCAACTGAGGAAAGTTGTCTGTTGCAAACAGACTTAAACAATTTGTTGCATGGTGTGATAGAAATGATTTGCCATTGAATCTCAATAAATGTAAGATGATGTGCTTTTCCCGTAGATCTGTGCACCTATCTTCTTATGTAATAAAACACCATATTCTAGAGCAAGTTTTAAACTATGTTGATTTGGGAGTTAATATGGACCCTAAGCTTAATTTTAGTCTTCATATTGATACCATGGTCTTGAAAGCAAAAGCTGTCATCAGTCTTGTTAAACGTTGGTCTAAAGAATTAAGAGATCCGTATATTACTAAAACACTTTATACAACTTTGGTAAGACCTATATTGGAATATGGCTCGGTTGTATGGAACCCTAGCTACCAAATCCATTCTGACAAGTTAGAGTCGGTTCAAAAACAATTTTTACTTTTCGCCTTAGCGCATTTCCGATGGGATTCTAGGGTAAGTCTACCTCCATACACTAGTCGTAGAGAAATGCTTGGCATAATATTGATAGCGAAATTTTTGAATGGAACTGTTTGCAGTTCTTTTCTCCTGTCTGAATTTAAATTTAATATCCCGGTTCGCCTTTCGAGGCAGTTTAGACCTTTACTGCTAAAATCCTGTAGATCAAATTTTGAACTAAACGAACCATTCCGCCGTATATGTCATGATTTTAATTCTCATTCCAGCACATTTGACTTATCTGACTCACTTTTCAAAATTAAAAAGACTTTATAGTTTTCTCTTAATAAATGAAAATGTAACAATTTATTATATTGAAACTTTAGATCTTGGCTGTTGAAATTTTTGTTTCTGTAGCTGAGCAGTTTTAGATCTCAACACTTAAAAAACTCTCTTGCCTTTTCTGACTCGGCTAATTCCGCACGTATGCGGATTGCGCCCCTCGCGTCGGTTGGGCGGGAGGAGGGTAATCGTTGAGTTATTATAAGATTATACCATAAGTAGTACATGTATGCTGGGGAAATTCGAGGATCGATTTCACACATTTTTTGACACAAGCATGCTATTATCGAGAGTTTTATTTATTTACTTTATTATATGAATTTCAATTAAATGTCTTACACATTGACCGATATTTTCGGTAAAAAGGCAACTATAGGCAGTGGGGTCAACAAATTCAGTACCTAGGGACTTGAATAGTTTTGGTTCGATTTAGACAATTTTTGGTCACATGGTGGCATATTTCAAACGCATTATTCACGCAAAGTTATACCTCGATACAATCATTGTTGTTTGATTTGCATAGTGGAAAGTGAAAAAATTAGATGGAATTGAAAATGGTGTTATATGGGAAATAAACG